TTCACCATGTCGACCAGGATGGTCTCGATCTCTTGACCTCGTGATCCACCCGCCTCGGCCTCCCAAAGTGCTGGGATTACAGGCTTGAGCCACCGCGCCTGGCCGTATTTTTACATTAAATTGTATTCAACAGTATTTGCATATACATGTATTTAAAAGTGCTTATCCTTGGGAAGTAGGAGTGGGGGAGCGAGGGCAGAACTTTTAACTTTTTATTTTGAAAGTTTTTATACTGTTGAAATTTTTATAAGTAGCAACATTTTTTTTTTTTTAATAAGAAGTAGGTTTCATCAGAAGAAACATTCTCTAAAATGTGTTAAGTAAAAAAAGCCAGGTTTAAAAGTATGTTTCTAGAATGCTATCATTTGTGTGTTAGAAAGGAAAATGTGTGTAGGAAGAAACACCTTTCAGCCCTTCTGTGACCAGTTAACTCATTCTCAACTTTTAAAACCACAGTTTAAGTATCCGCTTTCCTCAGAAACCTTCCTTATTTGACTGAGATAGAGGATTCTCTGTGCTTCTGATAGATCATTTGTTGCTCCCGTAATTGTTGTTTTGCATGTTTCTTCAACAGAGTATAAACTCCTTAAGAACAGGAATATAGTCATATTGATCTTTACATTATCCTTTATCAAAATAGGCTATATCATATACTTTGAAATTCGTATAGTACTAAAACAATCCCATCTGACTTCTTTCCAACCCTTTGATCCTATGCCCAGAGACTACCACTTTCAACTTGTCAGTGTTGCTTTGCTTCCATAATTCTGATAACCCTATACTACTCTCTTGATTCTTTGACTTTAGAAACTATCAGTTGACTTCCTCTTATGGTAGACAAGCATTTAGTTCTCTTACCTATTACCTTCCCAATGTGATTTTATCACTCCTTTAGTGAAATCAGTGTTTACCCTAATAACTAATGAATTAGTAATATTATATACTCATTTGATGTGTAATAATGTAAGCACACTAATTCATTAAATGAGTTATCCCGTTATCTGTCTTTCTGCCTTTTGGGTGTACTTCTTGATATACTTCCTAATCTTTTCACCCTTGTATTAATTTTTTAAATTTGTGCTTCCTTTTTTAGTTTCCAAGAGCCCTTCTCTGATTGTCCTTTTTGAAGGAACATACTGTTCTTGTTTTATATGTAATCTTCTGGGATTATTAATTATACAGTTTTGTGGTTGCTGTTGAGTTTTTTTCTTCTACTCTTTGCATGGTTTCCATTTTCTTAGGTGTCTGGTGACCCTTGGCTGTCTATTCTTATGTAGAATTTAGGTACTCCAAAACAGATTGGGAGCCCTGTGCTTGTGGACAGGACATGGAATCTAGTTTGCCTCACTAAAAGGTGGCTGGAGGATAAACTGCCTTTTTCACTGACGAGCCCTCTACTTCATGTCTATAGATCTCTCCCTTTAGGATTTCACAGTTTTTCTAGAGAAAGAGCTCCTGATTTCCTGATGGGGAACCGGGAGATGCTAGGGTAAGTGACAGTATTCCAGGCTGCAAATGTTCTGGGAACCCAAGGGATGAGGTCATGGTGAAGAATAGGCATAGTTTTATTTACTTTCCTTGTTTTTTTCCCCATACTCATCTCTACCCTTTACCATTTTTGGCATTCCCAGTCCAACAAGACCTCTTTGGTTTAATTTCTCTAAAGAATAACTCTCTCATCTTCTACAGTTGTGGAAGAGACAGGGACCTGAAGGTGTAACTACACACAGAATAGGCTTGTCTCTGCCTCATTGGCGCCTCCAGCTCCTAAGTCTCCCCATTGTTCTGTAGGGCACGTGGCCTGTGCGAAGACTGCTCAGTCAGGTACCTTTAGCTTTTAGCTTCTCCACAGATAGAGTTAGTGTTTCCATTTCTTGTTTTTCTTTAGTGTTTTGTAGTGAATTCTGAAAGAATGGGGGCAGAAGTGTTTTTTCCTCTGTCCTCTTATATTCTTCTTAGTATCTCTAACAGCTAGCTTTGAATTATTTTAGGTCATTAACTATATATTAATTTAATATGTGCAATGAAAGTAAAAAAGAGAAAATAGCCAACTTTAATATATACATGTCAAAAATTTTTTTTGAGACAGGGCATGGAATCTAGGGTCTTGTTATATTGCCCAGGCTAGAGTGCAGTGGAGTGATCATGGCTCACTGCAGGCTCAACCTCCTAGACTCAAGCAGTCCTCCTGCCTCAGTCTCCCGAGTAGATGGGACTACAGGCATGAGCCACGACACTCAGCTAATTTTTGTAGTTTTGGTGGAGACAGGGTTTCGCCATGTTGCCCAGGCTGGGATCAAGTGATCCACCTGCCTTGGCCTCCCAAAGTGCTGGGATTACAGGCGTTAGTCATTGTGCCCAGCCTCACACATAAGAATTTAATTTAAACATGGATGCCAGAATATACAAATGAACTTTTACTAATAATATTGACTACAATAATGTGTATGTATGCATGTGAGAGTGTGTGTGTATGTAAGTATATGTGTGTTATATATATGTGTGTCTTAACCATCACACCATGATGACAGTGCTGTTCAGCATCTTCTTTTAGGAAGAGATTTCTACATTTTTTCCACCAAGAAAGAATAATTATACACGTTTATATCTCTACAATTTTAGAAGCACCTGGTATGCTTCTAGGCTAGTTCTGATTTTTTTAAAAGGCAAGCTTATTTATCTTTAAGGGTTGGATGTCCAGTTTTAAACTTTGAATAAGTTCATAATGTAATTTTATCTTTCATTTTAAATTAAGTTAATCTTTCTACTTTCTAGGATAAAATTGAGATATTCTAGTTCTATTTATACAGCAGTCCTCCTCCTTGTAGGCAGTTCTCTTCCAGATTAGGCTCTCTTAACATCCTTTGCAAAACTGTGGCTGCTCCTCCTTTCTAAGATGAAATAGTCCCCATACTTTTCATAGGTGGGGCACAGACCTCTGAGAGAACCCAAATTAGAGTACAGCCTTCCTTTCTTCTCTCATTCTGTGGACTTTAGCACATACTTTCTCTAGGAAGCTTTCTCCTGTGGCTCCCTTGTGTAAGAGCTTCTCTTTTCTGATTTTTTTCTTAAGGTAAGGGTAACCACCATAGTTCATTTTTGTCTTTGCTGTCCAACATATTTCTCAAATCCTATGTGTTTTGGATCCTAGATCTCCACCCACAAGCTCTTTTTTGCTTTTTTTTTTTACTGTTTTTTTACTTTTCCAAATGTACACAAAAATAGAGAGTACAGTGATCTCCTATGTACGTACTACCAGCTTTAACAGTCATCAGTACATTGCCAGACTTGTTTCACCCATTCATCTGTTTGTTGGTATGTGTCTCTTTCCTCCCCCACAACCTTTTGTTTTGGTTGGGTATTGTAAAGTAAATCGTTTCACTATTACCCCTGAGGTACTTTAGTTATACATCTCAAAAAAAGAGTATTCTTACATAACACAGTGTCATTACTATATCTAATGTAATTAACACCACATCTTTATTTTATTTTTATTTTTATTTTTGAGACAGTTTTGATCTCTCGCCCAGGCTAGAGTGCACTGGCACAATCTCGGCTCACAGCAACCTCCACCTCCTGGGTTCAAGTGATTCTCCTGCCTCAGCCTCTCAGATAGCTGGGACTACAGACACATGCCACTACACTAAGATAATTTTTTGTATTTTTTGTAGAGATGGGATTTCACCACATTGGCCAGGCTCTCTTGAACTCCTGACCTTAAGTGATCTGCCTGCCTTGGCCTCCCAAAGTGCTGGGATTGCATGCGTGAGCCACTGTACCCAGCCATTTAACAGTACTTCTTTAATATCATCCCACTCAGATCATACTTAGATTTCACTGATTGACTAAAATGTTCTTTACAGTCGTTTTACTCAAGATCCAACAAAATTTACTCACTGTATTTGGTCGTTAGATTTCTTCAGTTTCTTATATTCTAAAACAGTTTCTCCTCCCCCTCTTTCCCACCCTTTAATATTCCTTTGGCTTTTTGAAGAAACTAGTCAGTCATGATTGCTTTCTTCAAAATAAACCACATTTTTTAATTGGCTGATTGCTTCCTGTAGTTATTTAACTTGTTACTTGGTCTTCTGTATTTCCTGTAGACTGGAAGTTAGAGATAAAGGCTTGATTAGATCGAGGCTCAATTTTATTCAAAGTTTAAAGGAACAGTGGTACAGTGTACACAAAGGCAAACGATATCCAGACATCCTGCTTTTAGTAATGCTAAAATTGATCCCATGAGTTCAGATGGTGAAAGTCTGATCCCTTTGTGATAAATGTCCCCATCAGCCTTTCACCCGGTGATTGCACCCTTCCTTAATGACCATTGCCTGAGTCAGCTACTTCATTAGAAGTTGTAAAACAGCCAGGTGCCGTGGCTCATGCCTGTAATTCTAGCACTTTGGGAGGCCAAGGCAGGGGATGGATTACCTTAGGTCAGGAGTTCCAGACCAGTCTGGCCAACATGGTGAAACCCCGTTGCCACTAAAAATACAAAAATTAGTCAGGTGTGGTGGTGGGCACCTGTAATCCCAGCTACTAGGGAGGCTCCAGGAGAATCGCTTGAACCCAGGAGGTGGAGGTTGCAGTGAGATGAGATTATGCCACTGCACTCCAATCTGGGCGACAGA